CCTATATATGTAATTGATTTATTATAACAGTATTCAGTATATACCAATTATATTCCATGCAATTTGAGGTCTATGTTCCAACCAATAAAGTAAAGTTGCGACAGCTTATACTCTTTTCCACACCACCCAAGCACACCATTCAACGGTGGCGTGGAAGTCATGCCTCAAGAGGCGCGTTTTTTATTGTGTTGTTTCCACAGGCCTACTACACGTTAATTTATAATGTCTGCTCAGTTAATTTTTTCCTCTCATCTCCTTGGTTGGGAGGGGTGGTCAATCTGAGAATAGCTGTCGAGATAGTGGAATAAAACTGGAATCCGCTATAAAATTGCTGAGCTTTGGGACGCTGTGGCGTGTGGGGTAACGGTTGCGAATATAAAAACAATGCATTGGGACCTTATTTGTAGAGGAAATGGTGGTTTTCAATTCCGTATAAATTTCCTTCCCATACAATGCATAGGTAGCGAAATAATCGCAAAAGGGTGGTTGCGACAACTTCCATAAGGGGAAGGGGTAGTTTCCAGGGGGATGTTGCAGTAGGTATATACAGGGCATTCATTTCAAAGCTTTCCACCTACGTTATCTGGGTAAACAGACAGATTTGTGGGAATCGCCGAAATACGTCAACAAATTTATTGTGGGGAACGTTTTTTACGTGAAACTGGACTTCGCCCTTTCAATCCCCTAAGCCCCAGGGCTACCACCCCAAAATTTTTGAATGGGACAGTGGGTTGAGTGATAGCTCATTTTAAAGGGCTGTTAAATCTGTACATGTTGCCGTCCTATTTTTTAAATTTTTCCTCACTGTTGCAGAATAAAATCCCTTTCAATGTTCAGAAACGCGTATTTATTTCTGAGCACACCTGCTTGTTTACCTACATACCTTTTTATTAATTTCCAAAACTAATTTGATTGTCACCTTTCAGGACAAGTACTAGTTACCGGTTACCGGTTCCTCAGTCTCACTGGTGACGGTTTCGGAAGTCAGTTTAGTTTTATTAATCCCTACTACAATCGAAATAACTAAACACTAATCAAATTGAATTAAAGAAGAGTGAAGGAAAATTGAAGGATTGAAAAATGTTGGTCCTGGGCGGGATTCGAATTCGTGCCTCCGCATTGCCGGTGCGTTGCTCTACCAACTAAGCCACCATGACCAATGATGGTCAAAATCTGTAGCATGGTTATAATGGCTTAACTGGTAGAGCAACGCACCGGCAATGCCGAGGCACGGGTTCAAATCCCGCCCAGGACCCAAATTTTTTTTAATCCTCCAATTTTTCTTCAACTCTTCTTCATTTAATTTTCATCGCTTTTCGGTTAAGTAACCGACAAAAATAACTCCTATTTTACTAACCAAATTGTTCAATCCGTTTCTGAGATGAAGGCATACACTAATTCTAAATTGATTTAAAAAGAGTAGACTAAAAATAGGAAAATCATTTTATTAAATTCCCAAAATGAGCTCCATTATTTGCTAAACAATGATACAACCTATCTTCAAATTCTTGCCGAACTTTTCGAAATGTCTCTCGAGATATCTGTCTACATGTTCGAGTTATTCTAGCTTTGAGATCATTGATGTCTTCCGGCTGAGTTTTATAAACTTCAGTTTTTAGTACCCCCAAAGAAAGAAATCAAGTGGCGTTAAATTGGGAGATCTTGGCGGCCACTCTTGGGCACCTCTCCTTCCAATCCATTTCCCAGGAAATGTTTCATCCAGCCAGTGCCTAACAGGAAAAGCGCAATGGGGAGGAGCTTCATCTTGTTGGAAATGTAAATTGTCTTCTTGCAACATTCCGTCTTCATCGATCTGGTTTTCTAGCGACTGAGTGATGACTGGGTCTATTACATTTTTTAAGAGTTCCAAATAGAGCTCCCCAGTCAGATTTTCTTCTATGAAAATAGGCCCGATTATCTCGTCTTCCAGAATTTCTGCCCACACATTGATCTTTGCTGGATACTGTGTATGGTCCTGACGAAAAATATGTGGATTTTCATTGGCCCAATACCTACAATTGTGCCTGTTGACAAATCCATTCAAAAAAAAAATCGATTCATCGCTAGAGCAAGTTTGAGAACCCTATGTATAGAACCATCAGAAATGTTAATAGACTTGGCTAGTTTCAGAATTGAAGTATTAGAATCCATTCCAACATTACCAAAAACTTCGATCTGCGTTGCCTCGTTGAGAATTCTTGACTGACGAGTTTTTATATTACACACCGAACCAATCGAGTCAAATTTTCTCACTAAATCAAGTACATACTTGTGGCTTGCATGTTCACCAGGGTGTCTAACCTTGCAAACTGCTGCTGTTCTACTAGCACAAAGATTTTCACTTCCGTAGATGTAGATAATCTCTATTCTCTCTGTCAAAGTATAAACCATTTCTCGAGAACTGTTCACTGTTGTAATAGTAAAACTGCACTAAAAGTGACTGAAACAATAACTGACTTCCGAGACAGTGACCAGTGCGACTGAGAACCGTTAACCGGTTACTGGTACTTTTCCCGAAAGGTGACAATCAAATTAGTTTTGGAAAGTAATAAAAAAGTATGTAGGTAAACAAGCAGGTGTGTTTAGAGATAAATACCCAGTTGTGAACATTGAAAGTGGTTTTATTCTGCAACAGTGAGGTCAAATTTAAAAGATAGGAAGGCAACATGTACAGATTTAACAGCCCTTTAAAATAATCTATCACTCGACCCACTGGGGCGAAGTCCAGTTTTACGTGAAAAACGTTCCCTCTCAATAAATTTGTTGACGTATTTCGGCGTTTCCCTCAAATCTGTCTGTTTACCCAGATAACGTGGGTGGCAAATTTTGAAATGAAAGCCCTGGACATTTTTGGAAAGCTTATTTAGTGCGCTTACAGACCTTTGTGGAACAAAAAGCTATAAAAAAATAATAATTTTTTTTTTTTTTTTCGTCTAGAGGGGTTTCACTAGAAAAATACTTTTGGAGTCTATGCATGTGTATCGGAAGTGTACCCAAAATAAAATGTGAACTATTTTCATGGAGGGCATTTCTTTTTTTCAAATTTTATTTTTTTTTTGGAGTGGTTCCCGGTAAAAAATGGGAGTGGATAATATGAATTTTTGAATATCATCCCTACATCACTAATCCCTGGAAATTTGAACAGCCTAGCATTACTAGCCCTTCAGATGATATGAAAGGGGGTTGTTTAAATTTCAACACCCTGTATATCTAAAAGGGGTGAATGTTTTTAAATAAAACATATACCAAAAAATCGACCAATTATTTTTTACTTTACTGTTCAGTCAAAAAAAATAAAAAAAATCACAAAACATTTTTTTCAAGGTCATGTAACTTTAGAGCCACGTATTTTTTTGTGAAACGTAGCGACAACACTCAGTTTCGGAAAACCAAAAAAGCGACTTTAGGGGGATGAAAGGGAATGTTCCAGGGAGAAATTTTGTTGGAAAAAGTTACACCCATAATAAGCAGCCCTTGTCATACCAGAAAAAAATTTAAAAAAATAAACCAGAACTTGTGTTGAGTTTGCGAGGTTCAACCTCTCTTTCGTGGCCTAATACCCAATGTTCCCAGAAGGTGCCTTGAGTGCAAATTTGTTTCAAATATTTCAGATTTTAGGAAAAACCTCAAACAGATATTTGTTGATGAAACTAAAGATATTTTTTCAAACCAAAAACTTCCAAAAAAAAAACAATTAAAATTACGAGTCTGGAAATTGAAAATATATAATTTTTCGTTATTTCTCACTATCACCCCACGACCCCACATAATTACAAATAACCAGTTAAGTTTCATAACATCGGCCTTGCTATTATTCATGCTCTTATTATTTTACTCCTCCTTCAATTCCTGGACGGTTTCAGGAGGCTTAAACACAACCAAATTAATTTTAATCAATTTGGTCTAAATTATTAGGCATTGTTGCTAAATCTTGTTAGAAAAATAAACTTTCTTTTTTTCTACCAAAGCAGTTTTTATTTCTCATTCTATATGACGTCCATAACGAAAAACCTGAAAATTCCTAATTTAAATCTTGTTGAAGAACTGACGTCCACACAAAAATTTGCTTCAACAATGCTTTTACTTATTAACTATTTTGGTTTTTTAAAATAACTCAGCAGCCAAAATAGATCCGGGAGAAAATAACGGTGACCTTGTGGAAATCCAGTCAATTCATGAAATACAATAATCAATACTTCATTCAACCGGTTGACCACAAAGGCCCATGCTTTTCGGCTCGTTCGGAAAAATCGTCCAAGTTCTCTCATGAATCGTCCTGAGCGTACCTGAAAGAATCCCATTCACAGCCTGTAAGGTGCTTCTCCATGATTTGGCAGTGAATTGGGCACCATGACCGCTGGAAATCCTTGAAGGTTCTCCAGCTCTGGGAAAATAGTCCAAAGTGAGCCTGTTTAAAATAATTGGTTGACTTGTGTCACGTTTCAAGAAATTAACGGAAGCGACAATGAACTACCTAACACATTCAAAACCACCCGCGCATAAGTCGCGCCTCTACAAGTAGGAGTTAACGGACTATATAACTTTCAGGCAACTAAATCACCCATGGCTTCTATAGAGTAGAAACTTTAGTAGAATTATTCATATTTTCAATCTAGCCAATCTCTCAAGTGTAAAACAAACAATTACTCAAAATGCAACAATAGTTATTTATAAAATATTAAATGATGTACTGACTAGTACCTGACCTAAAAAATTGTAATTTTGTAAAAAAAATTAATAAGTACAATACTTGATCAAGAGATAAACTTTACTGACTATTACTAGAGTGTACGTTTCGTTTGGCAAACCTCGGATAAATTTTCCAATGTCTGGGTAGGTCTATATTTGTCCAACAATCATGGCCTCTATATGTGTATTTATTCATGGATTGGTTTTATTAACCTTATTATTAAAATTATTTGTCAGCAAAATACTTCGAATAGAAGTATTTTGTCCGTCTGTGAAGTTTCCAAACTTATAGAAATTCGATATATTTCCAGGTTTATTTCAGAACTTCCTGGCTTTTCAAAGCACTAAATCAGTTTAGGAGCACATTAGAACTAGAAACTCCGTTTACAGGCCTTGAGAGCACTAAGGTCGGCTTGGATTTCTTATCTAGGAACGAAAGAACAACTTTGTGGGCATACTTCCATGTCCATCCCATTGCAAGCGAATTCAACTCAACTTTTGAAAACGACCTTCTCACCAGTGCTGCGCTGATTAAATTTGGGGACAAAATGTAAGTATGAATCAATCGCTATTTAATATTGGCAAATTCTTATTGGCAAATTTGCAACTTTTATACTATAGAAGTCATAATTTCGTAAAGGTGTGAATAAATTGAAAGCACATCACTCTGCTAAAAACAGTTTTTCTCTTCTTGATGTTTTTCGTTTAAATTGTTACTATTTTATTCTTAGCAATTCACCTGAAGTTCTTGAAATATTAGTAGGCTGGTAATTTGTTAAAGCCAAGAACTATTAAAAATGTCAAAGATAAGGATGTTTGTGAGTTTAAATGACTCAGAATTCTTATTATAGCCCTAATAGTATACCTGAAAAAGCCGTTTTTTTATTTCGTGGAGTTTTTACCATCCAGAAGGCTTTAAAATCTATTGAGGAAATCCGGCCTTCCATAAAAATTGTCCTAGGTATTTATGTTTCGTGCCAACGAGCAGTTAACCAGAGTTTTTCTTGAAGCGCAAAATTATATAGGCTTACAACTAAAATACTTCAAATATAGTTCTTATATTCAACTTTTTGGTATACATAATATCCACCCTCCACCTGCCTCCAAAATGGAAAAAAATCGCTCAATACCAACGTATGTACAGGGTGATTCATTAAGAATGGCACTCGGCCATATCTCAAAAACTATTAATCGTAGTCTTGTCGGAAAAAAATTATCCCATAAATATGGCCAAGAGAAAATCCTGGAAATATATTTCAGCTTTCTAAAATGACCGTAAAGGGGGCGTAACCCAACTGTCAAAGTACAAAAATGGTTTTATTTTTTAAATTTCAAATGGAAACGTATCTCAAAAATGCTACCAATAGATTTTTGATGAAATTTCACATAATTTTGATCCATGACTTTTTACCATAACTTATCGGATAAGATAGTTATGAGCTGTCAAATATTGCAACACAAGAAAGCGGATAACTTAAAAACGACTCAACACATCTGGTCGATCTTAGGTTCGTTGGAAAGACAAGAGTCTGTTCTTTAACTTTGTTGTGAAAAATTCAAATTCTGATTAGTAGGACTGACGCTATGGGTCAATATTTGAAAACAATTGAATGTTTCCAATTGTTCTTAAAATTTTCAAATAGAACGGTATATTTAAGATATGTTAAATCGATTTTTGAGGATGTTTTCCATAGTGTTTCTTCATTATACCTTCCTACAAACGAATTCTAGAGAGTATTAAAATTAATTTTATTAAAAATAATCAGTATTTATGAAAAAGCCCTCGTAAATTGAGTAGATACCAGTTAAGTATGTCAGGCTGACACATTTTTGAAACTTCAAACGCTATTTTCTAAAGTCAAAATGCATTTCCCAAATGGAGAAGCACAGGACATCTTTGAGGTTCTGCATGAATGTAATGGAAATGCAGCAATCGCAGCCACTAAAATCTAATTATTTTGAAAATGGACAATGCTTATAAAAAAATATTAGAGTGGTTTTGGACTATCTCTGTTAGTATTTACAGAAAGAGCAGAATGAAAAATGAAAAAATCCACAGTACGCGGGTGCCGAATTTATGCGGAAATGACATCTAGATTTTAATTTCCAAAATTATTAATAGATGGCACCACCACTTGAGTAGTTTACTATTCTCAAAATAAGTATGTATTTCTTCTTCAAGTTTCGTATCCTACAACATGCTCGTGTATTAATGGCTATCATTACATGATCATTGCATAAAATTGCTAATATAATTTCCTAACGCACTTTTTCCATTATTTGACATTCATCAATGATGACAATCAACTGTTAGAAAAGCAAAGTCATTATTTACGAGGGCTTTTTCATAAATATTGATTATTTTTGATAAAATTAAATTTAACACTCTCTGGAATTCGTTTGTAGGAAGGTTTATTAAAGAAAAACTGTGTAAAACATCCTCAAAAATCGATTGAACATATCTTAAATATACCGTTCCATTTGAAAATTTCAAGAAAAATTAGAAAAATTCAATTGTTTTCAAATATCCACTCATAGAGTTAGTCCAACTAACTGAAGTTGGAATTTTTTACAATAAAATTAAAGAACAGACTCTTGTATTTCCAACGAACCTAAGATCGACCCAATTCGTTGAGTCGTTTTGAAGTTATTCGTGTGCTTAAGTTGCAATATTTGACAGCTCATAACTGTCTTATCCGATAAGTTATGGTAAAAAGTCATAAATCAAAATTGTGTGAAAGTTCATCAAAAATCTATTGCTAGCATTTTTGAGATACGTTTCCATTTGAAATTTAATAAATAAAACCATTTTTGTACTTTGACAATTGGGTTACGCCCCCTTACGGTCATTTTAGAAAGCTGGAATATATTTTCATTTTCATTTCATTTTCAGCATTTTCTCTTGGCCATATTTATGGGATAATTTTTTTCCGACAAGACTACGATGAATAGTTTTTGAGATATGGCCGAGTGCCATTCTTAATGAATCACCCTGTACAAAGTCTGAAGCATAAATACAAATATCTCAAAATAAAGCTATATCAATTAAAAACTATCCTCCCACCAGTCAAAAAATAATGAAACGAAATTCATGATCTTTACTGAAATTCACTCCCTTATTATTATCACTTGGATGATCGTTTTTAGTATTATAAGCATGCGCAGTATTGAGACGGTAGTCGCTCAGGTACCTTCATTTTAAATAACAATTTTCTTTATTTTCCATATTGGTTTCGTGCACGTGACGTCACTAAATTGACACTGGAGGTAAGACAACCTAACCTTATCTCATTTGTTTATATGGAGTTGGAGGGTCATGCTTTCTTCTTTTGATATTTTTTCAGTGTTTTATTTATATTTTTGTTTGATTTGCTATCTAATAGTTTATAAAGACATTTATTTACGTTCATACTGTATATTCGTCGGCATTGTTTCTACATCCTACAACGGCACAATACGAGGGTATTTTGACCCTAGTCTACATAAACTATCCTAGAAAGTGAATCATATTTCAATTAGAAATAATTTTTCAAAGGATTAGGAGGGCTAAACGGCGAAATTTTAAAAAGATACTAATTTTTAGGTTATGTTACCTCCAATGTGTGACATAAGTATCCAGGGGTGTCAAACATAGAATTACTTTCAAAGTCCTAGTCGGTGTGGTTTTCATTGCACGAGTTATATAGGCCCGTCATTCTTTGAACGTGGTCTAGTTTTCGGCTTATAGTACTCTGTTCGGCCTTATGTCCCCAGATAATAGTCACATAGGTAAGCATAGGCCTGATGATGGTTGTATAGATCCACACAACTACCTTGGAGGAGAACCCCCAGGTTCTACCGATAGTACGTCTACACTGTTCATAGGCGATATATGTATTCTCTTAGCGATATGAGAGTTACATGTTAGTTTGCAAGTGTGCGAGTATCACTCCCAGATATTTGAACTCGGCAGCAAAACTTAGTTCGGTGCTAAAGAGTCTGGGTGCTGTCGGAAGTACCAGTTTCCTCTTTCTTGTGAATAGGACCATTTCAGTCTTTTTGGGGATGATAGACAAAGTATATAGGGTAGTGGACAAGGTATAATTTCAATGAAATCGATGATCTATTCTTCATCAATGGAGTAAATAAAAAATATTCGTAGGTACTAAAAGAAATTTCAGATTAAATTACTTACTTTGTTTAAAACGCTTGTAAAAGTAGAGTTTTGGGACGCACTATTTAAACAGCCTTTGATCTACGTCATAGCTGCTGTATTTGAGTATGAATTAAATCAAACCTACGTCCGATATTCGACAAAAACTTTCTAATTGGTGCAAAAAAGAGAGATATATCAGCGTCTGTCGGGTATCATTACATCTAGGCGCATCCTTAACATAACCCCACTTTTTGAGAGATTTTCATTTGTCAATCAGTGCGCCCTGAGTTTGTCGGCATCTTTTTCTAAAACCATGTGAAATATAAGGACGCGCATGCCGCGCTCTTGCCACTCTCATAATGTCGAAATGCCTTGACGCTATGGGACATAACAGCTATGACGTAATTTCCGGGCGGTAAATTATAGCGCTTAAAATAAGTACAAATTGGTTAATTTTTTTTTACTTATATTTGTGTTTTCTAAAATCAAAGAATCATCAACTACTGTTTATTTTGTTATGAAGATTATTAAAAAAAATATTTCAAAAAATTGTCCACTACCCTATTCCGTGCACCATCTTTCTAAAATTCGAAGAGCATGTTGCGTAAGCTATTGTGTAGTGGTTCTCATTGTTTAGGCGGAAAATGAGGCTGTCCAGAACCATGTTCCACAGGAAGGGTGATAGCACGCCTCCCTGCCGGTAGCCTCTTGTGACCATTCCTTTAATGTTGACGTCCTGCACACTTATCTGTACAATTCCTTTGGAAAGCATATTGAATATCCATCCGGTAACAGTTTCCGGAGTATTCCTTTCTGTTAGCGAGTGGCTAATTTTTTGAAAGGTAGTTTTGTCAAAGGTCCCCTCAATGTCGATGAAAACCCCGAGGGCAGAGTCTCTGTTGTCCAGCGCTTTTTCCACTGGCTCAGCAACCAGGTGGAGGGCTATGTCCGTTGATCTTCCGGGGGAGTATGCATGTTGATTAGGGTGGATTGGATTGGTTGACAACACTTCATCCCTTATGTACCTTTCGCATAGCCTCTTTTTTTAGAGAAAATGATGAGAGGCTTATGGGGCGATATGCCTTAGGGGCGGTGTAGTCAATCCTCCCTGGTTTGGGTAGGAACACCACATTAACTTCTCTGCAAGCCTAGAACGCCCTGAACATCCCTACCAGGTGCGGCAAGAGTGGCTTCAGACCCCACTGAAGTAGGGATGGATAGATGCCGTCAGGTCCTGGTGCTTTGAAGACAGAGAGGCCTGAAATTGCCCAACCTATTTTTTTCTCGTATAAATTCTGGTTCGCTAGTTGCCAATCAGCCACAGAGGGTATGTATGTTACCTGCGCCTGATCCTCTACAATTGCGGTTGTGGAGTCAGAGAAGTGGGTTGCTAGTAGTAGCTCTGTGCTTGAAGG